GTGTGTGTTTGTGTGTGTGAGAGTGTGTGTTTGTGTGTGTGAGAGATATGTTAAAGTGTGTGTGTTGTTGTAGGAATCAGTGATGGCCCGTCAGTCAGTGCTCTGACCAATGGACTGGACACACCAGAGGAGAGATACACTAAACTGAGGAAGGTAAAGAGTGAACACACACACACTCTCTCTCACACACACTCTCTCACACGCGCTCGCACACACACACACACACTGATGCTTCACAGACTGTCCATTAGGAATGTGACCATATCAGTTTTTAACATCACAATCATGAATAAAGCATTTATGATATTATCACAATATTAAAGTGCATTGAAAGATAATCAGACATAGTTAATGTTGCTTTTTTAGTCTTAAGCTCTAACAACAAAAATGAAGCAAACAAAGGCTTGAATATTTTAAAAATGAAATGAGCATTATATCCATTCACAAATAAATGATAATATATAGAATATGCACAATGGACTGGTTGAACATGACTAAAATTGACAACATTTACTGACTAAAATCTAAATGTGGGTTGCATCAGTAATGGGTTAAATCGCTGCACCTGCTGTAAGAGTGTAACAACATTTCAGAAAATGAACACAATCTGAGAAGAACTGTGTAGTGACATGAGTTTAGTTTGGATATTCATCATATTAGTCATCTGAAGATATCAGCTCAGTATTAATATTATTGTAATCCCTGTCAGTGTTTGAGTGCACGTTTATCTCTTGCCTAACACTGAATAATTGACGGTTCGGCTCTGTGACGATCAGACGATCTGCTGTAGTGTGTGCTAATGCTCTGCTGGTTTCCTGCAGCACTCCATGAACTTCCTGCTCTTCCAGTTCGGCGTCTGCACCTTCAGATACGAGCCGAATCAGTCCACGTGAGCATCAGAGCCGTGTCTGTGTGACGTTCATCTCGTGTCAACCCTTACCCAGCTCTCTCTCGGACTTAATGATATAGTGTTAAAATCAGTTTTTCACAGTCATGGAAAACAAGACCACTTCCACAAAATGTCCCTTTTTTTTGCAATCCTGTGTAATTTACCATTTAACCACAAAAGAAAGAGGAAAAAAGCTCAGTACTATAAGATTAGAGTGAGAAAAAATATGCATGAAATTTTAAAAAATGACACTCACTCACTCACTCACTCACTCACTCACTCACTCACTCACTCACTCACTCTCTGTTCTCTGAGGCTCTTATGTTCCTCTATTGAAAGTTTAGATAAAAATGTCTAGTGAATGATTTTTTTTTAACAATCATTACAAATATGAAATTTATTTTAAATTGTCATTGCTAAACGAGATGATGCATTAATCGGGTTCAGAAAAAGTGAAAATCTTGCTTATACCTTTTTTTTCTTTTTCTTTTTTTTTTTTTTTAACCCTTAAAAAAATGAACAAAGAAAATTAGAATTATTTCCTTGGCCAACAATTGAAATTAAAGTAAAATTAGCAAAGTAGTAAAATTACCAAACCAAACTAAAACTGAAATAGTTAAACTAAATTAAACCAGTAATAGAAATATTGAAAATATTAGTAAAAGTGGCAAAATTACATAACTAAAACTAAGAGCTCATTCAAAATAGTAAAACGTGCTGAAATGGCAGTAGTATTTTGTTTTTGTATTTTGCTTAATTTGATTAAGTTACTTTAGGAATATTATTAGTATTTAGGCCCCGTCCACACGAATGTAGTTATTTTCCAAACTGCAGCTTTTTCTACGTGGTTTGGCCGTTTGTCCACACGCAAACACAGCACCAGCTCACTTCAACCGAACATTTCTGAAAGCTCCTGCCAGGGGGAAGATTTTCAGAAACTCTGGTTGCAGTGTTGTCGTGTAGATGGCGAAACCTGAGTTTTTGGCTTGTGACGTCAGAGCCTGCGCTGTAATCTCCGCCTACTGGAGGCTTTTTCAGGCTTCTGATTGGCCAACATGGCTTTACGGTTGAGATTACATCGCCACCTGTTGGTTTGGCATGCATGTGTTTGCGTTTTTCATGTGGATGGAGATTTTTTTTTTTAAAACAGAAGGGAAAACTGTTGCTCTTAAACTCTTTAAAAAAAAAAAAATAAATAAATAAAATAAATAGTTTATAAAAATACCAGTGTACGTGTGGACCTGGCCTTAGACTCATGTTCACACTGGAGCTGTAAATCATACTGTAGTGAGTGAGGAGCATTATGGGAAACGTGCATGAATCAGCAGCTGTGATGATGATGATGATGATGTGTTGCAGGCAGAAGGTTGAAGCTCTTCTGAAGAACTCCGATCAGACTCTGGATCTGGAGCCCTGCACCGGGTCAGAAACACACTCCTCTTACTGACAGACTTCATTAAAATAGAGCGCGTGTTTGTGTGTAACAGAGATCGGAGCTGAATGTGACTATTAATAATCATGTGTGTTTCAGCTTTCAGAGGAAGCTCATCTATCAGACGCTCAACTCCAAGTAAGCCTGTCTCTTCAGTGTGTGTGTGTGTTATGAGCTCAGTGTGTTCACTCGTCTGGTGTTTTCTGTGTTTCAGGTATCCTAAAGGTCTTCACGTGGAGACGCTGGAGACAGAGAAGGTACAAACACACACTCGCTAATGCACATTATATCATCATCATCAGGCTCTGATCGTCAGTGTGTGTGTCGTCAGAAGGAGCGGTTCATTCAGATCAGTAAGGTGGATGAAGAGGAGAGGAGGAGGAGAGAGCAGCAGAAGCAGCAGAGGGAGCAGGTGTGTATCTGTTCAGTCACATGATCACTGGATAAATGATGTCATGAAGGTAGCATGACTGACCGATTGATTGATTGATTGTGTGTTACAGGAGGAGCTGAATGACGCTGTGGGCTTCTCCAGGGTTATCAGAGCCATCTCTAAATCTGTGAGTCTCTCTCTCACTCACACACACTCTTATTATTCTGATACAAACCATACTGACCTGCTCGTGTGTGTGTGACACAGGGTAAACTGGTCGTTGGTCACAACATGCTGCTGGACGTCATGCACACCATCCATCAGTTCTGTGGGCCGCTGCCTGAGGTAACATGATGAGGCACTGGAGGATTGTGGGAAAGTGTGGCATGTCACAATCTGATGCTGTGTGTGTGTGTGTTTTACAGGAGCTGGGTGACTTTAAGGAGGTGGCCATGTCTGTGTTTCCCAGGTAACCTCTGATCACGTGATCACGCATGTCTCTGTCCACGTGTGCACCGACTCTCTCTCTCTCTGTGTGTTTCAGGTTGTTAGACACCAAGCTGATGGCGTCCACACAGCCCTTCAAGGTGTGTCACGTGTGTTTGTGTGTGTGTGTTCAGTAGTGATCTGGAGCCGCGTGTGTTTAATGTGTGTGTTTGTGTGACAGGAGATCATCAGCAACACATCACTGGCTGAACTGCACAAACAGCTGAGAGAGAAACCCTTCAGATCACCCACCACTGGTAACACATTCACACACACTCTCATACAAACACATTCAGACTCAAACTTGTGCACATGACTCGCACTCACGCACACATTCAGATTCACACTCGCATATACAGACTCACTCGCATATACAGACTCTCACTCACATGTTATTCAGACTTAAATGCATATTCAGACTCACTCACATATTCAGTCAAACACATTGACACTCACATGTTCAGACACTCACTTATATTCAGACTCACACATTCAGACTCACGCGCGCACATTCTCACTCACTCACTCACACATTCAGATTCATGTCACACGTCACTCTCCAGCCTCGTGTGTGTGTGTGTGTGTGTGTGTTCCTAGAGTCAAGCGATAACATAACTGCATCCACATCAACAACTATAACCATAACTACAGACATAACCGTAACCGGCTCCACATCAACTATACAGTACACTATCACTATATTAGTGTCTACACAAACAAACCCATACCAATTATAATATTAGCATACACACCAATAGACACGTATAGAACGTCAGCAATAACTAACGAGAACCATGTCAGTCAGTGTATTAGCGTCCACACAAATCACTATAATTGAGCATGTAATAAAACTATGGTAACAGTAATTGTTCTTACTGTCTTTTCAAACCTGTTTTTCATTAACATGAGAGGTTTAATTTCGTTTGTGTCACAGGAAGCTGCTCGCAGACGTACGCCGATGTGACTGGCACCTGTGATTGGCCCAGACTGCAGTAAGTGCCCCGCCCCTTTAACTCACTCACATGATGTCATGACTCCGTCTGATTGGCTGCTGTTGTTCAGGCCTGATGAAGGCGGAGCCTCTGTGAGTCCAGTGCAGGAGGAGGCGGAGCCTGAGGAGTCCTCAGCCAATCAGAGTCAAGGTAAAAGGAGCCGCAGACACAAGAAGAGGAAGTCAGACGGTGAGCGTTTACATTGACGTACACCGCGTAGCTCTCGTCCGCTGAACTTGACGGTTTGATTTGTTTTCTGTCGCACAGCTTCTGAAACTACGCCACCGGCGCTCTTCGACGTTCCTCAGGTTTGGTAGCGAAGGCTCGGCAGCCAATCGGAAGCCTCGCTCAGTCTGGGTGTAATCGACAGCCAATCAGAAGACTGCACTTATCTCCTGACGCCCAGCGTGTGTCGTCTGTGACCTCCCGTGACCTCTCCTCGCGTGGCCCAAGTTCAGTGCGTTTTAAAGGTGCTGAAGATACTGAGCCATTTCTTGTCTGAATATGAGTGAGTGAGTATGTGTGCGTCCTGTAGTATTTTAACGTGGTTTCCGACAGCGCTCCCTCATTTTAAGTGTCGACATGTCCTGCAGGTTTATTTATTCCTCGTGAGGGTTTGTTCTTCTTTAGTTTAACGGTGAGAAAAAAAAAGAACGCGTGTCAAAGAATGTCTGACGATGTCATCACGAATGTCCTGTTCATATCCTTTTTTTTGTATGAGATGTTAAAGTGTTCCCTTTTCCAGGGGAGATGAAATTAAAGAGTCTTTCTTAGTACGTCTGTGTTGAGCTGTTCATTAAAACTGAACTGAGAGTTGATGAATGGTTCACTTTGCCTTATTCAGATCATTCTGACATTGTTCGGTGTTCAATATTTATTACAGATTCATAATGAATAAGGGGTCCAAAACTAATGCACACAAACTGTGAAAATGACTTTTAAGTGTAGGATAGATCATCTGACCTCTCTGGTGTTTTAAAGCAAAATGAAGTGACTTCTGAGCAGCTCGTGTTTAGAGCGGAGCGATATGATCAAAACCTTTACTAGTCATTTTCAACCACTAAATTTAAAAATAAATCCATATCAACATATGCATGAATACATTTGAAAAAATTAAAGTCACATCAGACTGTTTGACAACTGGTTATCTTCACTTAAAAAAATATATATATATATATGTGTTTTACTTTGTTTAAAATGTTCACGCGACTCATACCTTACCCGTGTTACACAAATACAGTTTATTAAATAATCTCCCGCATAGTCGCCCAAACGTCAATCAAACAGTTCAACGCACTTCAGGAACGGCATTCAGAGTAGCTTTAGTTCAGAAAACCAACTCTAGAGATGAACATGATGTTAAATAAACGGTAACCGTTCGTCTTCGTGATTGTGTTGTAGGCCTTGTTGACAGCCACCATTGGTGTTATTTACAGAATTTTTATACTTAGACAACGAATTAGAAAGCTAAGACTTACTTTTTATTGCTTTTTTTAGTGCTTCTGGGTCAAAGTGACTCAAATTGACAGTCTATTGTGAATTACAGAGTATTTTCACAGCTATACGAATCGTTGACGTGCAAGGATTTTCGACAGGCCAATTTTAAAATATTGTAATCGTTCAAACGTTAAGAACGTGTACACATAAATTCATATTAAAAGTGGTAAATTAAGTGATGTTTTTTCATCTAGATGAATTGGCCGTAGCCTTAAATGTCATGTGGTGCGACCAAGATTTATATTAAAACTTAATTCATTTCCTTAACATTCCTAACACTTTTTTTTTTTTTTTTTAAGATGTTCTCAGTGCTTAAAGTGTTTAGAAACCAAAGTATTTACATTTCTTTAGAGTTTTTGTAAATGATCTCATATTTTTGTAGAAATGGGAAGTTATTTGACTGTTGCATCCGAGCAGCTGCATCTTACTGGGATGAGGAAGAGATCATTTAAAGCTCTCGCGGAAACCGTTTAATATCAAGAACTGATATTTATTAACAGACTGTACAGGAACAACTTTTTATCATAACATCAGCTCACACACACAATCAACATTCCTTTGGGGACGCCGTAGCGCTCTTATTTAACTTCTTTTTTTTTTTAAATGCACCTCAAATATATGTGGGATTAATAGCAGAAATCATACACCCCATGTGTCATACTCGCCGGGACAGTATGCTTGGAGATTATATTTTATGTCTTCCATTGCGTTCGTTATTTGTAGTGTGCCAGCCCCCCAATAGCAATAAGCTTTGTGCTTTTGGTACTTTTAATATAAAACAGTGTCTCAGCTTTCAAAATCAGTTTTGTGAAAACTATTGACAAGATCTAAAAGTAAAGGAACATCAGAAGGCATGAAAAAACAGTATAGCCTAATTTGATGAAAGGAATGTCTCAGTACTGTAATCGGAAAGATGACTGATTCACATTAATTCTCGTTATTTTGACATTCTTGGAGTATTTCAACTTTTCTTGAAATATCACGACTTCAATCTCGTAATCTTAGATTTACTTATTTCTTTTATTGTTCTCATTTATTTAACATGGCACTAAAGCACTGTGGTATGTAGGCTAACTGATAGTGGAAATGCAAATATTAATACAAACTCACGAAAGACCAAACGGATGAGATTTTTCCTGCTTTGAATATTCAAATGACTTTCATGCATGTCTCTTCTGAACATGATTTCATGATCTCTGTAAGAAATAATCTTTATCACGGCAGTATGTTTTTGGATGTCTTTACAATAAAATGATAGTTCAAGAATAAAACACAGATAGCACAGCAGAAACATGAGCTATACTCTGTGTACAGCATGTCTGAGGAGCTGCTGGATTCAGAGCCACAGGAAGTAGGAGAGCAGAGGAACAGGAAGCTCTGGTTAACACTTTTAGCATCGTTATACGTGATGCTCTCGGTGACACTCTTAGCTCCCGGATGCATGAAGCTCTGGAGGATGCTCTGGGTGACCCTTTCATCAGCGTTATTTCTGAAGCCCTGGGTGACCCTCTTGTCACCGTTACATGGGTCCCCCTCACAACATGCGACGTCCTGAATAAAGGAACATTTTAGGGCCCCACAAATATATTTAGAGATGCAGTCTTTTACAAGCATTGGTGGGCCTCTGAAAAGAAAGAAAACACAATCTAAGTTTAGTCAGTCTGAGTTAGCCATTTATATGTGAAATGTATCAAACGTTTAATAAGATTAAAAATAAGACCCATTAATCCTCTGGTATTCAGGTGGAGGTCAATTTTTTATTTTTTTTCAATGAAATTAACGTACTATATTTTAAGTTGATAATGTTTTTCGGATTTTATGGTACTGAATTATATTTTTGCAATTGTTATGATCCATTTATGACTTGTTAACCAGTTTTTGAGTATAGACCTGAAAGTAGCATTTCCAACTTAAGCTTACTATTTTAGAAAAAAATAATTACTATTTTAAAATGTTATATGAAATATATTTCCCAAAATATGTTTTACTTTAAAATTGCAAGGAAAACAAATCCATAAATCTAAACAAGTTGTGTTCCAAATTTGAGGTTGATATCACAAAAAAGAAGTCAGATATTGTTTGGGCACAGTGTCCACTAGATGAAGTTCCCTTCCCACTCATTTCTAATGCAGTCTTTTCTGATCACGAACTGCGTGGTGATTATTTGATCCAGGACAATTGAACCTTTTTGAAACATGTCCATTAGTTTTGTTATTTTATTGTTTGTTTGTGTGTTCAAGTAGCACGTGCCAAAACCTTGACCAAGTTTTTGGTCAGATCTGACTGATCACGGGCTGAGAGGAGAGATGATGGCTGACAGATCATGCTGGAGGATTTGCTGCTCAACAGATCCTGAGCTCATTGACAAATATCTGATCTTCCTTTACACAGAGCGCTCGTCATCGAAACGTGAACAGCGAGCGCACATTCAAGAGAGATTTAAATACTCTGCATATTGATGGCGGCTCCCTGATGCGCGAAAATCATATGCAATATTAGATATTATAGATAATACTAGGCGGGACTGGACACAAAAAAAATCGCAGGAGCGGAACACGAACATGACTGAGACAGGAAAGACGAGTTCAGTTGTGAAGTGTATTTATGAATGCATCACATTAGAAAGAGTCTTTTTGATAATGTATCTCATAGCTGCAAAGCAAAAAAAGAAAATCTTGATTTTTTTTAAAAAAATCCATTTTAATACAAATTGTATTGTTACTTTAATAGCAGAAATCTATATAGAATATTCTGTGATCGGATTTGTTAATTTCCACCAGAAAATTCTGTGACAAGTTACATATTTCTCTATTTCAGCTCAGTAAATAATAGCAATTACCGATCTGTAATACTGTAGTTGTACTCATGCACTTGGAAAATCCCATGGGACAAATCCCTAGTTTCTCCAGACAGTAACTCATAACAGCAGCGAGCCCTGTGCTGATCTGAATCTGTGCTGGGTAGCATTACAAGCCCTGCTGAGCTCTGGAGATCTGCGGGTCCATCTCTGATCAGCAGGTGAAGGAAGTAATGGGTCTGATTCAGCACATCTTCTATAGCTCCTCAGAAGAGGAGGGTCTTCATGAGAGAAAGAAGATGAACAGAAATAGAGCAGCTATCAGATAGATAGATATGAAACAGGAACTTTTGCAGGGAAGTGCAGAGTTCCTCTGGGGCAGGGGCTCAAACGTAAAATAGGGGCAATGTAAAAAAAACTATTATAGGTCAAAAGTTGGGATACGTTATTATTTTATATTTTTGCAAGAAGTCACTTATGGTCGTCAAGCCTGCATTTATTTGATGCAAATTTTAATATACTTTAAAATGCATTTCATGCAATGCACTGTTGATTTATTATTAATGTTGGAAATGTGATACTTTTTTCAGGATATACTGTATATGTATAAAGTAAACCGCTGACACAAATGAGTTTCAAAGTTTGCTGCTTCAGTATTTGTAGATTATTTTTCTATAACATGTTTCTATGGTATACTGAAAAATAATGATAAGCATATCATAAGTTTTAAAGGCTTTTATTGGCAAATAAATATATTGAGTCAGTATTTACAGTGTTCTTCATAACCTCTGCAGTTCGCTCTGGCATGCTGGATATCAGCTTCTGGGCCAAATCCTGACTGATGGAGATCCATTCTTGCCTTATTAGCTCTCGGAGTTGATCACAATCTGTGGGCTTCTGCTTGTCCACTCATCTTGTGAGGACTGACAACAGGTTCTCTGTGGGATTGAGATCCGGGGAGCTGCCTGGCCACGGATCCAAAATGTCAATCTAATGATCTTCGAGCCACTTCTTTATCACTCTTGCTTTGTGACATGGTGCTCCATCATGCTGGAGAATGCTCGGATCATCACTAAATTGCTCATGGATCGTTGGAAGAAGTCGCACATGTCGCATCAAACAAAAAAAGACCTTTACAGAGGCTGTTAAGAGTGTAACCTTTACAGAGTGTATGTGTGTGACTGTGTTTGAGTGTGTGTGTGTGTGTGTGACTATGTGTTTGAGTGTGTATATGTGTGTGAGTGTATGTGTGTTTGAGTGTATGTGTGAGTGTATGTGTGTGAGTGTATGTGTGAGTGTGTGTGTGTGTGTGTGTGTGTGTGTGTGTGTGTGTGTGAGTGTATGTGTGTGACTGTGTTTGAGTGTGTGTGTGTGTGTGAGTATGTGTGTGTGTGTGTGAGACTGTGTTTGAGTGTGTATGTGTGTGTGTTTGAGTGTGTGTATGTGTGTGTGTGTGTGTGAGTGTGTGTGACTGTTTGAGTG